ATATATATATATAAAATTATTTTAAACATATTCAAACATATAATTAATTTTTTTAGATATTTATTTAATTCTTTTTTAATTAAATTTGCATTTGTTCGGTAAATTCTAAACCCATATTAGCTGACCACTAGTTATGTGAAGCAATATGTGATATGTTCATTTAAGCAAAACATACCAACTATATCCATTTCAATTCACCTGAGACTGCATTGAGAGCAAAGCCGAGATGAACAGAAATCAAACGCCCCAATCAGGTCAGAATGAGAAGTAAAGAGCGAGGAAGTTATTCTATCCATTTAATTCACGTAATCTTATGGGTAGAATGATAAACGACGACGAACACTGCACTGCATAGTAACCCCACCGGTGCCTTGATGCTGATACACAATGACTCAAATGAGATCGAAACTGCCTTCAAAACAAAGCCATCAACACTTGCTAATACAGATGGTAACTGTACAATCTGTATGATACAGTTTGAGCAACACCAGCACAGATATTAGATTTCTGGGCAATTAACATAGCTGTATGATTAAACCCAGACCACAGAAATTCAGAACAAACCACAAACACATTCAGTGAAAACCTGGACAAATTGCTCAATAATTTGGCCAGTACACCATGATCCACTTCTGTGACAATAGTGAATGCAAATGCATGAAGTTTAAGGACCACTAATAAACTTCTGACACTGTAGAAGATCCCATGATTCTACAGTGCAAACAACAACCTACTGCATACTAAGTAAACAAACAGCTTACTAAGCATTCAAAAAGACAAACTTTGAAAGCGAGAGGTATGGAAAAACATGGTCAGACTTGTCAGAAATAATCATCGGCACAGAGACACTCCCAACCTTTCTCGTAGTAACACACCTATCTTTCTGCACATTCGTGTCTTATTGTGAATGTGTATGGCAGATTGAACTACACACCACAGGAAGGGAAAGTCATATGATTTGCGTTCAGTCCTCAAGGGGTTTGGAGTGTGCTTGAAGGTCTAAACTCTCTCCCCAGGCACGTTGCCCTACACACGTTTAGTTCCCGTATTGTTCCTTTTTTCGCTACTCCGGAAACAATTACCTTTTCCTTTATGTCTTTCGCGACGGTGCGGCCTTAGAACGCACTCTGCCGTTGATTGATGTGACCGGTATTCATTGCCTTGCTCTTCCGGAGGCCTCTGTTTGTCCAACTGTTATTTAACTGTAATTGGTTGTGTATTTCCCTCTATTGTACGATTAAAGACGAACTGAAAAAAAGAAAAAAGAAACGAGGCCTGCACCCACTCAAGTCCTGTTAGAAAGCCAACACATGTGGATCAGTTTTTTTTACATACACACTTAGGAAACTCTATAGCATGACCAGTGGACAATTGAGTCTCACTAAACTTTTAGTATATAAATTGCGAACAGATAAAATGCTAAGGGGAGTTGAAGTAAGCAGTGCAAAAGATTAAGCTGTGCATGCTGAAAGCGGAAAGAGCCATGCAGAAAAAAAAGACACAGAAGAGCTCTCCAACTAAATATTCCAAATTATTATGGTTTATACATGTACGCATTTGGAAGACAGAGTAACTTCTAGAGCATTCAAGCTCATTTTAGTTTTACTTTTCATTTTATTTGAAATGTTAGCTTTAAATAATTTTTTTAATTAGTACAAGACTTAAAATTGGATGTTGCTACCGTCATGTTTTACCAGTAGTGCTACGAAGAAAAGACAAACCAGACAGTTTCAATCAGTTTTAGTTGATCAAATTACTTTGTCAACATTTAAAAACAGCTTCATTATCCAAAGGTTAAGAAAGTTTTTCTCGCAGCACCACAATAAATTTTGTCCGTTTTGGCAGAGAGGAACTTTAAACATTTGACATGCTTTCATTCTCTTTATTCTTCAGGTCCACTACATCTGTTCTTTACCTTCAACACCACCTCCTGCTCCTCTGATTTGATCTATGACCTTTCACCTCTCACCCTGCCAACCGGCCCCCTGCCGTCCACAAGACACCGACCCTCCACAAATCCACAACCTGTTGACATCCTGCAAATTCCAGATTTTTCTGCTTGGGAAAGGCCAGAGCTAGGGTTGGACCGATAGACGACAGACATCACGATGTTGAGCCGGCATCATGATTTATTGTTTTATTGTGCAAAAACGCCAAACATATTATAGGCTAGATGTTTTACACAAACTAAAAACAGCAACAAAATTCAAAATTATTTAAATTCAATTAGATTAAATAGGCTAGAACATGTGGGTCAGATCGTGGGTGTTGGATAATAAATATATTACAATAAAATTAAAATAAAAGATTTTAATCCTCTGACATCCACTCCGCATCCCTTGGGCCCGGCTATACTTCACTTTCCGCATTCTGACGGTGTGCGCACATGTCCGCAGACACTTCTGATGATGAAAATCTAGACATCATCCGAGGCCAATTTGGTAGACATCGCCCAACCCTAGTCAGAGCAACATCCTACTCTGCCACTGTGCCACAATAAACATCTTTTCCTCATGTGCTTAAACTGGAATAATATGTGAAACACATGCAGGGAAAAAAACCCTCAAACTCCATTTCTGGAGGTGTGACTCTATCTGTTCTCCAGTGTTTTGATGGGAAGGCTATTGGAAAAGAACGCTGTGAGTGGCGGTTATTATCACACGTCCCGTCAGGAATGACGGATACGGACTGTCTCGCACTTCCCATCCGCTCCACCAAGTGTCATTTGCGCCTCAGCTAGAACAGATAATTAGGCTCTCGACCAAACTGTGACAGGATCCAATCTGTCCAATTCTCCCACTATCATCCTTCTGTCTCGGTCTGCTTGGCGACATGGAATCAAGACCATTGTGCGCTTCACTGAGTGCTCGGGGTCAATCGGATGAGATGTGTCTGAGACGAGACCATGATGAAATGCCTCTCTGATAGCAGACATACAGTGGGTACGGAAAGTATTCAGACCCCCTTAAATTTTTCACTCTTTGTTATATTGCAGCCATTTGTGGCTGCAATATAACAAAGAGTGAAAAATTGAAGGGGGTCTGAATACTTTCCGTACCCACTGTATACACCCTATTTCCACTTTTCCAGGATTTTCCAACCAGGGAGTTGCAAACCCCCAAGTCTTCATAAAGGTACTAGTATATTTGTTGATGCCAAATGTAGTTTAATAAAATTATAATTATTCAATTAAACTAAAGCATTAAATAATCTAATTTTTAAAAAAAACATTAATTTTTTTTTTTTTGCATTTTCCCAAGAACAGTTTTTGTCCTTTTTTGCACACGTCATAGTTGGTGCCAAATGTCATTTAATAAAAATTCTTACAATCAAATAAAAAAAATCAAAAATCAAATCTATTTCCATTCATCTTATGGCCAAAATGATTCATTTACAATCACACAAAGTATTTCAATTTAAAAATATATATATTTTTGCAAATTCCTAAAACAGTTTGCCCATGCAAAAGTCGTTGACGCCAAATATCATTTAATGAAAATGTAAAACATTCCTTAAAATCACACAAAGTACAAATTTGACAAAAAAAACTATATCCTAAACTTTATTTTAAGATGTCCTTGTTGCACATGTTACATGTACTTACTATTATAATAACAATTAATTATGCATAATTACATGCAAGTACCCCTAAGCCAAACCCTAATCCTAACCCTAACCATATAGTAAGTGCATGTAGTTAATTAATATTACTCAGTACTTAAATGTATAATTACACTGCAACAAGGACACCTTAAAATGAAGTGTAACCCAGAACATTTTTTGCCCATGCAAAAGTTGTTACATGATATTCGGGTGAATTGCTATTCGGTTGCAAAAGTGTTTTAGGTGGCTGCTATAGTGTTGCTAAGTGGGTGCGTCCTGCCCAGATTCACCTTGAAATCTCGATGACATTCTGGACCCTAGATATTCCTCAGGTCCTCCTTACAAGTATAATTGCAAAACGTATTAGCACACCTGTCCTTAAAAAGCACACAACTCATCTCTATAGGACTCTATAGGTGTGGGACGAGTCACACTCTAAAGTTTAGTAGTTAGGGTTAGGGGTCTGTTTAAACAGTAGTAGTGATGTTTACCTTAGCAAACACTGATAATTATTAGATCGCAGGGCTTTAGCAGACAACCCAGCCACCCCACACAAGTAAACACTACGCAAGCTGGCAATCACCCTGTTCTCCTTTCACGTTCCCCTCCTTCCGTATTTTCTCACCCTTCCCATTTTCTACTCATTTTCAGTTAAATCCCAACACTCTTCCGTAGCCGCTCCTTTTCTTTCCTAATCACAATCGCCTTTCAAATTGTAATTTCTGCAAGCTTTATTGTCATGACAATGGCATGCCAAGCCAAAAGCACAGGCCTCTCAGGGGCGCCCACAACAACACAAGCATCCGTGCAAATCTCATTGGCCAACTTTCCCTCCAAAACCTCTGGAGTCACATATAAACACTGGAATTTGGTGGTGGGTTTGAGCAAACCGCTAACTTTAAAATTTAACGTGTGACCTGATCTGTACCGTTTGTGCTACAGGCATGAATTATGCATCAAATCATGCGGCTTCTTGAGGAGAGTTGTGCTAGTTGGTTTCTAAGGGATTTAATTAATAAAATGGGCATAAAAAAGAAAACAAAAAAACTTCTTTATGTCTTGGGCCAGTAAGCAACCACCTAGCAAGCACCTGATATAGGCCTACTCAGGAAACCACCTACCAATGTGCTAACAACCACACAAATCACTTTAGCAACCACACAGTGATTGCTGAAATAGGGGGGAAAATGTAGTGAAAAAAACAATAAATTAATAAATAAAATAATAATAAAACAAAATATATTTTTTATATACTTTTTATATATTTTACATATAAAAAGAAAGAAAATGAATTTCTTTCAAACCCCTTTGTGTTACCTAATATAAAGCACATACAGCACACATGTATTAACAAAAAACACTGCAAAGGTTGACAGCAGCCAATTGCCACATATAAAAATTCTGGGGCAAAAAAACAGTTTAGTTTGTTTAGTGGGAGAATGAGGCTTTATTCACCCGAGAAAACATAATAAACAAAGGGTGTGAGCTGACACTTTTATTACAGGGACTTACTATCATGATTTAGGACTCTTGGTATAAACAGAGAATTATTGGCCCAGGAAACCCCCTACTGTATGCAGGTGGTCAATTTAAGTCACGCTTATCGAGATGCTGAGCATCTCTCACACTTCTGGTGTTACTGGTTCGTGTATTGTCACTGTTGTGAACAGGAACGTCTGGGTTGCAAGAAGAAAACCCTCGGGCTAAAAAGGCAGAGAGAATGGAATTGGGGACAATTCCAATTTCAGAAAAAAGACTGATGGCAGGAAAGTCAGCGAGGGATTCGCTTGGATCTCCAGCCAATGTTTTAAACATCATCAAAGCTCCGTTTGACTGTGTCTAATTCTGTCCAAACCAACAGGGCACACACGCACACTAAAACCCCAGCAGAACCACTCCAATGACAATAAATAAATCACACAATCCAAATAACAATGATCCGAACCAACCTTGTGCGATTCCACATTTTCCACCACTGGGTCAGCCTGGCCATACCTCTGGTTCCAACCACAAACCTTATGGGGCGGCAGGGAATGAGAGAATAAAGGGCGAAGATCTTCAACTCTATTGTGCGCTAAGCCCTGTCAGATTACATTTGATCCAAGTTTGCTTTCCCACACTTTCACAATGTGTTCTTTTCCAACCTCTGAGAAGATTTCGACTTCTCTCCCAGCCTTTATCACGTCTCAAGAGAAGCGACGCCCGTTCCAAATAAAACTCTTTTTAGGTTAGCAACGTTGCTGATTCAGGAAGATAATGGAATATTTCATATAATCAACTCTCCCTTAACAGAAAAACCAGCTCATGTGAAACTCTGTAAGAATTCTAAACTGATATGCTATCTTAAACAATGACCCCTCCCAGAAACACAAGCGAGTCCTTGGTGGGCTTTGCATGCATCAGGTGGGGGCTGTTGAAGTTTCCCTCCAGGGGTGGGCGTTTAATGGCAGGCTTTTTTTTGTTGTTGTTGAATTGATACATATACTGTTCTTTGGTACAAAAAGTAAACATGTTTAGCACAACCATTTGAGCACAACTACTTGAGTTGCGTCTGTACCACAAGAAACTGGTGTGGTTAGCGCTCTCCACATTTCACCAAAACCTCCCAGCCTTTCCGCATCACATGACACCACTTCAGCCACTTAATCCTCCGTCGCATGACCTCCCGTAATCTTCCATCATATGATAGGAGAGAAAAGTGCAAATCATCTTACAAAGTTCCACAACATAGACCACTTAGCATTAGAAGATGAAAAGTTACGCATCTGACTTTGGAAAAAAGATAACCGGTAGAACAATGCAATGCGATATTGCGCAATAGAACGTCTTTTGTACTTGCGACGTTAAGCGAGGCTTTACTCTTAAAGAAACAGTTCATCCAAAAAAGCAGAATCTTTCATTTACTCACCCTTGTGTCACTCTAAACAAGTGTGGAAAGAAGAAATTTCCAAGCTGCTATATCCCATAGAAGAATAAAAGGAGTTTCAAGGATAAAAAGCAACATAAAAGTAGTCCATACAAGTCTACTCCAATTTTCAGTGAATAACAACTTAAATTTGATCGTTTCTCGCACAAATCTAAAAAGACTAAAAAGTTGAACATTTTGGTGCTTTTTTGTCCTTTTTGGTTGAAAAAAATGTCCCCAAAGCCGTTGATCACAATATGCTTCCATTTTATTGAAAAGAGCAGAAATCCTTCAAAATGTCTTACTTCGTAAAAAGGGAAGTCATGCAGGTTTGGAACAATATGAGGGTGAGTTAATAATGACAGAATCTTATTTTTGGGTGAACTTTCCCTTTAACCCTGCTATGGACCTCTTTTTTTAACCCTGAGGTCAAAGGGCATCTGGGCAGTGTTGGTTGGGGGGGTTGGGTGGCTACTTCCAGTGATTGTGTTTGACAACCCTTTAATTAATATAGTAATTAAAGCCAGAAGAACAAAAGCAGACTTATCAAACGCAACAGTTCTCATTACCTGCTACCCCAAACGAAACAGAAAAATCACGTCAATAATCTCAACTACTAATGGTAGAATGTGGCAAAACTGGGCCAAGATACGCCACTGGGAATTTACCACTTCAGAAAGTGCCAAAGAACCAAATAAAATGAGAGTTAGGAATGAAAACGATGACAAACCACATCCCGTTAAAAGGAAGTCAGGAAACCTCCAAAAAGAGCGGAGAATCTCGTTTCATTTTAGTTCAAATCTGAAAGCATATAAGGTTTATTTTCTTCCCAAACAAACTAATACGGGTTGGTTTGCATCTGCATGCCAAACTAGCAGGTATGTGTGTGGTCCTCAACTCTGAACAACATTAAACTCAGACAGATGGAGAGAGAGAAAATATGGAGGGAGAAAGGAAAAGAGACGTTATGAGTGGAACCACAAAAATCCTGAAAGCGACTATTTTGAAACGAGCTGTTGTGAGTATAGCATACGAAAAATAATTCCATACATTATAAAACCTCAGGGTTCACAGTTCAAAGACGCCAGATATATGCTTAAACCACTTTCTCCACATAATTATCAGCATTTCAAAGGCGTGCTCCATGCAAAAGAAGCACTTCCTAGGGTTTGCATACAGCTACTCATAAAACCTCCAAACCACACATCATTGCAAACCAGGACCTCCTCAGAACTTTCCTGGCTGTCTTGAAGGGCTGAACACAACCGTTTAAGAAAAGTTAAATCCCATAAATCTGCACTAACTAATGGTGTATGAAGCCATGAGGAATCCTACCTATACCACGAGAAATTCCGTGCGGCAATGTTTTGTTTCACCCAAATTCCTTATTTTCCCAAGACTTCCTCCAATAAAAACAAAATATTTTCACACATAGGTGCAGCTGCGTAGGAGAAGAAGGTTGTTTTTATAGCGATTAAGCAGTAAATAAGCATCTGTTTTCTTGTCATCACTGAAGTATCGAGAATTCCTAACAAGATCCTGCTGTAAAGACTGGGAATGTTTCTTGAATGATATTCCATTGCTCTTATTCCTTACCTTCACGTTCACTTTTAGTCTCCACCTTTTCAGCAATCTTTGGCGATGGCCTTGCCACGGACGCCGTTGCCAGGGTCAAAAGCAGGAGCGCACCCAGAAGCCACCCTCGGGTGGACATCCCGTCAGCAGCAGGCGTGTCTCCCCATCCCCCCCTCCTCGGCCTCCCCCTGGACACGGATCCCATCTGAGGAGCTCCACCCAACCATGAACTGCAGGCTGTACGGTCGGACACTCACTGGAATTCCCACTGATCACCTGGGCTGAGGAGGGCAGCAGACAGGACAGAGACGGGGACAGGTGATCACCAAAAATCAAAAACAACAGGAGAAACAATTAGAAAAATGTCCTTCAAGGTGCCATACACAATCCACAATAAAACACTCCAGATAACACTCCATAGCTTGGGCCCTACATATCTAGTGTGAATATTTCAAATCAGTTGATTCTGAAGCACAGCTATATCTTGCAGAGTGCGTAGGCCTAGTTATAAAAGAGACCGATAGAAACTAAAGGCCCACGTGTCAAAATGCTGTTAAACGAGCCTTGCCACAGACATACCAAAGCTCTGATGCTTTAGACCTACCTACAGTCTGACACCTACACACTACCCGACAAAACACCTCCATCAGCCACTGCCTCAAGAGCTACCTGCAACTTTGGCTCACTTTCTAAAGAACTGACAGACTAATGTAGGAGACAATTTTCCAACATCACTATTAAACAGTGATTTATTTTATCAGGACTGCAAACCATCTAGCTAAACAAACTATGGATATATTTCTGTGCATTTGTTTATATACATTTATGCATTTGGTAGACACTTTTATCCCAAGCACATACATTGATCGATCTATCTATCTATCTATCACAAGACTTGCATTTCATTCCTATGCTAACAGAAACAACTTTATTGGCAGTTTAGAACTCATTTGCACAAACAAAAATATGATTTCAAGCATTCAAAACAAGACAACGGAAAATGAATTGAAAACGCGGGAATCAGTAAATCAGTCAGTCAGTGAACACTGACAGCGTTCAATACTTGAGAGATGAGTGACAGCTGGTGGGGTTCCTCTGCAGATTTTTTTTTTTTTTTTTACCGTGAGCAATGCAGGATTTTAATGCTGTAACACGAGTTCGGACACGAGCACTAGTTTTTTTTAATTTCGCTACCTGCAACTTTGGCTCACTTTCTAAAGAACTGACAGACTAATGTAGGAGACAATTTTCCAACATCACTATTAAACAGTGATTTATTTTATCAGGACTGCAAACCATCTAGCTAAACAAACTATGGATATATTTCTGTGCATTTGTTTATATACATTTATGCATTTGGTAGACACTTTTATCCCAAGCACATACATTGATCGATCTATCTATCTATCTATCACAAGACTTGCATTTCATTCCTATGCTAACAGAAACAACTTTATTGGCAGTTTAGAACTCATTTGCACAAACAAAAATATGATTTCAAGCATTCAAAACAAGACAACGGAAAATGAATTGAAAACGCGGGAATCAGTAAATCAGTCAGTCAGTGAACACTGACAGCGTTCAATACTTGAGAGATGAGTGACAGCTGGTGGGGTTCCTCTGAGATTTTTTTTTTTTTTTTTTACCGTGAGAAATGCAGGATTTTAATGCTGTAACACGAGTTCGGACACGAGCACTAGTTTATTCTCATATCTAATCATGCGCCATTCAATTAAATTTAATAGGTTTGATAACTAGTGAACATAGAGTTCGCAAGACGCATTTCTGCTAATGCTGGATAGAAACAGAGAGCAAACCACCGTCAGTGCTTACCAGGTTTGCTGCATGAGCATGATTTTGAAAAAGATTTCCCAATGCAATACATGATGTCACCTTTAGAGAACTTTTCTCACCAAAGCATTGATTTAGAACATTTTCTGCGGATTATAACGCGTGCACACTCAATCTGAAGGCGTTGCTCAGCATCCTATTCACATTCAAATCAGAATACACAGAAAGGATTTAATGCCAATGCAAAGAAAAACACTGGTGTTCCTCTGGAATCAGCTGTTCTGTGTTCTTTGATTGCATTTGAATTGTTACTTGAACCTAATGTTCGTTCTTAATCGAAGACCATTAGAAAACACAAATCTAATGAGTTTATCATGATTTTCTTACTGGAAACTAATTTGATCACTTCGTGAATGGTCAGATTTTATCATTAGATCAACTCTAATTAGTATCTAAATTATGATTACAGTTAATTATTGACTGATTTTTGCAAATAACATTCTAGTTTATTAGACATTCAGAGCTTTGCTCTGTGAATTTATCACTAATAGGCTATTGACTAAGGAAATACAAAACCCACTTATTTATCATGGCAAAGTAAACTTTCTAAAGCAAACTCATAAGTGTGTTTCAGTGATGTTATTGTATCCACAGATTTCAGGGCAGGAAGCCTGGGGATACTTTAATTGCAACTATACGATGATTAAAAGACACTTTAAAAAAAGAAAGAAAAGATAGAAAGAAAGAAAACAACAGGTAGGCCAGACTGTTCCTGAAAAACACAAAAATTGGTTGCATTTTGAATTCGAATCTAAATTTGAATTTGAATTGATTGAAGTGTTCAAAAAATGTGCACGTTTTGATTGCAGTATATTATGAATGCATTAAAATCATACTTTTGGAAATCCTGACGCTTGAGAACGAGCTATCTGAGCTAATCTAAGTGGTGATTTTGAGTGGATTTAACCATTTTGACTTATATTTGACTTTATGGAGTATTTAACAGTTAATATAACAGGTGTTTATGATTTTATATCACGCATTACATTAGCGTTGGCTTGCAGCTTTCATTTAAGACGACATTTTTAAATGACATGTTTCTCATACAGTGAAAGTAGTAGGCTATCTGCTGTTTCATAATGGCACTCATAATTTTACCTTTTGCAAGCTGTCTTTATTTTAAAAAATAAAAAGCGAGCAAGAAAAAATGCACACACACTAAGTGTGCATACATTTAAACTAAGTGAAAATATTTTGCTAAATAACCTTGATAAAAGAGTCTGACAAGGCCATCGCTGATCATAAAAGAGAAGTTATGACATTTTCAGTGAACTCCACGTAACTTCAGATATAGCCTAGAATATCCAAATTTGTGCGCATTTAATATAATATATAATCGTATGCAGTAGTTAAGATACATTTGCGTATTTTAAAAGTTGCAGCCACGACAATTAAACATGCGTAAAGCCGCAATAAATGACAAAAAGTTGCATTTCCATAAAAGACAAGTAAACCTCCGCTTAAAATATCAACAGAAACACAAATATCTTACAGAGAAGGAGCTGATAATGAAGTTCAGAATCCGCATATAAACAGAGAGCTCATGGGCCGAATCCAGTCAGGAATGTGACCAAAACTATTCCCTATTCCCAAATCCAACGGGGCACCAACGACAGGATCGCATGCCAATAGCGACCCACCGATAGTATCCGTGCGTGTTTGTGTAAATCCTTCTACAAGAGGAAAAAAACTACGCGTCCCAAAAATTTCGTTTTTTCGTCCGTAAACCAAGTTGTTGTTGCTTCACCAAACGGCTCGTGCAAACGCGCATCAGCCTTCAGCTACACGAGATGCGACAGTGCAACAAACACCGAATAAAACATCCATCCCAAAATACACATCCAGTGACATGAGCGCAGTCTCTGAGGATACTGGCTGTTCTCAGATGCTTTGTCAGGTTTACACAGATTTTTTTCTCTCTCCTTCCAACCCCCTGAAGAAATGTCACTCCCCCCTGAAACCCGAGACGTTTCCTGGCTGATAGTTTTTTGGACTCGGTCTTTCTCCTCCAATCACAGACCTCAGAGCTCGAGCTCCCTCCGAGCGACTCAACCAGTTCTGCGCAATCCTGTAAAGTTTGTCCGGAGCTGGGGGGTCTCCCTCCTCCCCTGCACGAGCTCCAGTGCTGCAGAATGCCATTCATTCTCTGCAACTGCGCCACCTAGTGGCAGATCTGTTGGATCATTAACCCTTTGGGGGTCCCAGAGACCCGAGAAGGGTGTTCCTGCACAACCGGAGGCTGCAGTTTCAGGACCGCAGTTCTAAGACCGCAGTTCTGAATTCTGGCCTCATCAGTCCAGAAGGCAAACCGCTGACCATGCCTTTCAAACATCAACAAGATTAATCTAAAGTACTGCCAAAAGGACAGGCTAATAACACATATTGTGGTGCAACCAAGCAATGAGCCCAGTTTAATTATGAAAGATGATTTATACTTAACTAATATGCTAAAACAATGAGTATCAAACAAGTTTTCACACTAATGCAGTAAGCTACAGGTAAATCTGACACATCTCACATCAACAGGCGTTTATCATCTTTTTAAGTTTAATTAATGTGCTGGCTAGATTTACTTATTGTAGTCATTATGTCAACAAGGTTTAGCTTAATTAAATCATGGCCACGAATTAAGAACATCGTAATAATCAATAAAACTAGCAATCGGGAATTCATTATTATTTCTTAGCAGTTCTCGCGTTGGCTACGTAAACTTTGCATCGTTTTAAGGTTATAAAATAAAATTTAATTGAAAATCGGTAAAGTTACTCACTCTGATTACTGTCCATGTCGTCCATCTTTAGTGATCCAATTCGGCAGGTGGCGCTGTTACAAAAGAATAGGGTCCTAGAACTGCGGTCCTGAAACTGCAGCCTCCGGTTGTGCAGGAACATACTATTGGGGGGGAGACCCCAGGGCCTTTTAAAATGCATACATTCTTGACACTTTCCAATTTCATGGATTTGACATTTTAAAACATTCTGTTGTGTCTGTAAATCAGTGGCGTGCACAGGGGTCCGGGGGGCTCGAGCCCCTGCCCCTCCGGAGGTCTGTGGCACGCCACTGCTGTAAATGTTAACAAATTGCATTGTGACATCTTAAAGATTCGTTCAACCTTATATGTTAAGATATGCTTTTTTATATATAAAATTATTTAATGCTGATATTTTCACTTTTCGATAACCAGTTTTTACTGTATAAAATCAGCACAAGTAAGCTGGCAGTTGAAGATCATTCACTGCTGGCAAATCTAACAAAACAGAGATTAAAAACATAGTCAAAAATTGTTTGAAATAATTAAGATTTTTTTTTTTATGTTTTTGAAAGAATTCTTACCGAGACTGCATTTACTTGATCAAAAACTTAGATAAATATTATTTGAAATATATTATAATCAGGATATTATGATTTCTGAAGGATCATGTGACACTGAAGACTGGAGTAATGAT